TCAACAGATTTGGCAAACTTAAGGAAATACAGGATTTCCTAGAAAAATGTGAATTACTAAATTAAGTAAAAAAATTGGGTAGACTTTTGGAGAAATTAAAAAGGCTTCAAAGATCTACATATATATATATATATATATATATAAAATTTTTATTTATTTATTTATTTATTTATTTATTTATTTATTTACTTTTTTGGTACTGAGATTAACTCATGACCTCAGGCTTGCCAGGCAAGTGGTTATACCACTGAGCTATACCCACAGCCCATCTACCTATATTTTTAAAAAGGCACTAGGACCAAGTGGTTTCATACTGATGTGATATTATTTAAAGAAAACATAATTCTCATGCAATTGAAACTTTTCTGGATTATAGAAAAAGATGCACAACTTTCTAATTCCTTTTTTTTTTTTTTTTGTCTTTTTGAGACTGGGTCTTGGTCTGCAGTTCAGGCTGGCCTTGAGCTCACTTATGTAGCCCAGGCTGGTCTCAAATTTGCAATGATCCTCTTGCTTCAGCCTCCCCAGTGCTGGGATTACAGGCGTGCACCACCACGCCCGGCCTCTAATTCCTTAAGACTAGGGTAACCTTAATGATAAAGTATGATTAAAAAATACCCCTCATAAAACAAAACCAGTTATGACTATAGATGCAAAAACTTTAAATATCAACAAATAGAATGCAGTTGTATGGCAGATGAGCTATATCCTATAAACAAACATATATTCGAGGTATGTTAGATCAGGGAAGCAGCATAATTCATTAAATAAAGGAGAAGAAAATAAGGCTATCAGTTGCAAGGTCTAATCAGCTGAAAGTTCGAATAAAATCAAATATTCATTTCTACCAAGAAAGTTTTAGTAAAATAGAACTTTAAGCTTAAATTAAGTAATATAGATTACTTATCAAGGACAGCAGATATTCTGAATACTCTAGAGCCATTTACATTAAAATCAAAAAATCAATGATTTCCACTATCAGTATGATTAGGAAAAATTATTCTAAAAGCTTTAGAGAACTCAGTAAGATAGGACAAGACAGAGAGTATGGCTCAGAGTGTGACACAGTGGTAGAGCACTTGCCTAGCATTTTGAGTCTCTGGTTCAATCCCCAGGGTCCCTGCCTTCATGATAAAGATAACCTAGAAAATAAAGAAATGTTCATCGAAAATTTCCACGGTTAGTAGAGGAATTTAGGGTACCGGATGGACACAAAATAAATACACAAAAAATAGAGACTACCAAAAATAGTAGGACTGGAAAGGGAGAAAAATTCACGGTAACAATTCACATTCACAGTAACAATAAAATCTTAAAAGATATTTAATAAATTTCATCTTAAAGTACAGGGACTTTAAGAAGAAAATTACAAAATCTGATCAAAAGACCAAAGAAAGTTCCTGGCAAATGGAAAGAACTGTGTTGCTCTTGCATGGTTAGATTTGATATAACAAAAATGTCAGTTCTTCAGATTAATATATAAATTGAAAGTAATTCCAATGAGAATTCCATTTTTTGTTTGGTAGTGAGTAAAAATGTAAAATAGAGGTTTTTTTGTATGGGAAAGTAGATGTCAGGAAAGCAAAGTATCTGGATGTTGAAGTTTTTTTCCATTTGTTTTAGTTTTTTTTTTTTTTAACCAGGAATTGAACTCAGGACCTTACACTTGCCAGGCAGGTGCTGTGCTGCTCAGCTATATTCCCTGGCCTTGTTTTGTTTGTTTTTGATACGGGGTTTGACTATGTTGCCAAAGCCAGCCTCACATTTAACACGGCCCCCTCCCAACCTCCCAAGTAGTTGTGGTTACAGTCCTGCACCACTGTGCTTAGCTAGGAAAACCAAACTATGCAAAGAAAATACTTGGCTTGCCTCACAATTTGTTTTTTTCTGATGGTAGGAACTGAACCCAGTGCCTTCACGTGGTGCTAATTTCCAGGCCTTTTCCACTTTGTATTCGTGAGACAAGGTTTCGCTAAGTTGCTAACTTGCCCAGGCTGGGCTTGAACTTCCGGTCCTCTTGCTGTAGTCTCCCAGCGGTCTGGGCTAATAGGTATACACCACTGACCTGGCCCCAAGTATTCGTAAAACACAGATGGACACTTAGACTGCAGTTTTGGAATAGGAATAGGTAAATAAATAATGAGCCCAAAACATATTTCCATATGTATGGGGATTTAATATGCTACAGAAATTAGTATTTCAATTCTATGAAGGAAAAGGACGGTTCACTTAATGTGTTCTAGTATTAGTGATTATCCACCAGGAAGCTAAGAAAGTGGAAGATCCCCTTGTCCCACGTACAGAAACAAATTCCAGATGGATTAACTACTTGTAAAAATTAGAAAAACCTTGGAAGAACATTTAGGAAAAAAATACATATAACTTTTGGATGGCAGAGAGCTTTAAAACCGATTCAAGACACCTAGTAGCAATTAAGGAAACATATCTTTTTAACTAAGGAGATTTTAAAATGTTTCAATAGCAAAAGTGATCACAAAAGAAAAAAAGAATAGACGGGGCAATAAAACATAGAACAGAGTTAACATCTGTTATACAGAAACTCTTACTAATTGATCAGAAAAGGACAGGCAGGGCTGGGGAGATAGCTCAGTGGCACAGTGCCTGCCTGGCAGGTGTGAGGTCCTGAGTTCGATTCCCACTACAAAAATATTGGTAAAGAAAAAGACAGGCAACCAGGTAGAAAAATAGGCGAATCAGAACAGATAATTTACCAGAACCAAACCTAAATGTCTGTTAGTGTACGTAGGGAGGCTCAGCAGCACTAGCAATCAGCAAAAGTGATTACGAAGTATACGTGTCACCCACCTGATTGCCCACAGCTAGCACACGTCAGTGGCCCTTGCTGTCTACGATGCAGGAGGATCCTTTCATGCTGCGCTCCTGAGGCAGCTCAGAGTAGCTGCAGGCTTTGGGAAGCAGCCTAGTCGCACCCGTTAAATACTCTACCTGCCAAGGTGTTTGTTGTGGCTTTTTTTTACTTTCCAGTTTTTTGAGACAAGGGCTCACACTGTAGTCCAGGCTGGCCTCGAACTCACGGCAGTCATCTTGTCTTAGCCTCCTGAGTGCCAGACGGGATTTACAGGCATGTGCAGCCACAGCTGGCGGTTGTGGCATTGTTCGCAGATGCAAAGTAATGGAAATAAAGGGCATTTGTGAAGACCAACAATTCATTTAAACTGTGAAATTAGGAATTCTTTCTTAGATCTATACCGATGCACTTGGAATGATTGCCGTACTGTATCGGGAAGGGTAAGCTGTAGAAAGGAATAGTATGACCCTACTTTGGTATTCACACCACGTGTGCTTATTCTCTGTGTGTGTGTGTGATTATATGAGGATAGAGAAACGCATGAAGCAAGAGCAGAGATCACATCAGCTGTGGTTGGGGAAGAACCCCTGTACCTTCTTCACAAAGGAACACAATAAAATCAGCCGGAAGCTGGTTGTGGTGGTACATCCGGGAATCCCAGCTACTCAGGAGTGTGAGGCAAGGAAATGGGAAATTCCTGTCTCCAAGAACAGCAACCAAAAACCTATAAATAATGATGATCCAATTTTTTACAGAAAGTACAATGTCTATGCTACAGCATAAATGGAAAAGGTAGATACAAATGCTTAGGTAGGCTCCATTAACAATGATGTAAAACGTTCCAGAGAAGAAAGAGTGTCAGGCAATACAAACCAATGCATGATAGTTGTTTAAACAGAGGAGTTATACATGCTTCCCCCCTGTATAATTTCCAAATTTTCTCCAGTGTAGTTTTGCCTGCTTTGATAATTAACTGAATGAGATTTCTAATACTGTATCAGTCACATACCTTTTAATATGTCATGAAATCAGTAGCCATATGTACATATGTGAACTTGATGTCCTAGTTCTGAAAATGTGCAAATTTTTTGGCTTATTTTCAGTTTGTTATAGATTAGAGAACTAAAACCTCCAGAATAAATTATCCATAAAATCCAATAAATATGGCTTCATATTGCAAGATTTTTTCCCCGAGAAACAGAAATTACTTCTAACAATAATTTCAAAATTCTGTAGCTAAGTACACGTCATGGCATATCCCGTGTCATGCATCCATCATGCCTCAGTTGCAAAGAAAGCTCAGAAAACCTGGCACTTGCAGCCTCTATAGTAGAAGGCTCCTACAGTGGGGAATCCCACAAATGCAGGAAGAGTTCAAGTGCTGGATGGCTAAGAGGGGGCTCAAGGTCCATGTTGTCTGTGTGTGTTCAGGAAATTGCATGCTGGATCTGAAGGTTCTTGACTGATGGTTACAGGAGTTAGGCCACACTGGATAAGTATCTCCTGGGGGCAAAGGAACCCACCAGGTGGTGAAGATGGCGATCAGATCCTCAGGAAACCTATTGCTTAGTGAAATAGAAACAAGTGTATGGGCCTTCATACTTGCCCAGGATTTTTCTTCTTAAGATAATTTCCCTAAACTATAACCTGCTAATAAAATCATTAGGCCTAAAAGAATTAATTTGATCTAAGGGAGAACGTAATTTTAAGTAATGAATTTTGTACTTCCAAAGTGCTGTTTAGCCAGGGATATAGTCAGTGGCACATCACTGCCACAGCACTGCCTGGCAAATAAGAGGTCCTGAGTTCGATTCTTGGTACAAAAAAAAGAACAACAGCAACAACAAAAAACCCCCAAATGATATTCATCTTTAAGCTGAATATTTATTCAGTTTAATATTGCTTTTTCTTCTGAAATTGCATAAACCTCAACCTGTGTTCAGTTCTTTAAAGTTAACCATACATCCGGGCATGGTGGCACATGCCTGGAGGCTGAGACAGGAGGTTTGAAGCAAGATTGTGGCCAGCGTGGGCTACTTAGTGAGTTCAAGGTCTGCCGGAACTAAATAGTGAGACCCTGTGTCAAAAGAAAGAAAGTTAACACATAAAGCTAGAGCAACGCCTTCTCCAGTTCTGCCTGCTATCACTTGTTCTCGATTTCAATCGACAGGTGCAGGGAAGGGGCGGCGGCCTGATCCAGGACGACGACGATGCAATGTTGAAGAGTAAGTGGGAGGAGAGAAGCAACAGGCACCATGGAAAAAACCAAAACAAAGCAAGGTCAGATTTCCCTACGTGTTACTTTAGTGCTGTCTTGCCAGTGTCTCAGGACAGCATTTCCTCATCCTCCTAGACTTGCTGGGGGAGGGGAATACCTGTAATCTTATTTTTCTCCGCAGCAGCTTTAGGACTGCCACAGAACAACACAGGGAGAGTAAGGTCAGGACACAGACTGAAGCTGGATGTGATAGTGCACATCTGTAATCCCAGAACTCTAGGAGGCTGAGACAGGAGGATGGCAAGTTGAGGCCAGCCTGGGCAACTTAGTGACTTCGCAAGACCCTATCTCAAACCAAACTAAACTAAACTAATAAATGAATACATACATGGACTGGACTGGAGATTTAGCTCAGGGATACAGATTCAACTAAAAAACATCCAGCACCTTCCAAGCTAGCCTAGAAGAACAAGTGTTTTCTCTTTTCCTCTGTACCGTATAGGAACAATCACATAGGAGCAGGTTCTAGTATCATGTGCAATGTACAGTTGAGGAAACAGTCACAGAGAAGTCAGGCTACAACTACAGAGCATTAAAACTAAGTCTGGGACCCTGGCCTGTGTTCCCCAGCCCCGATTCTTGCTGTTATATGAGGGGGTCAGGACATAGCATAAAATGGGCTACATGATCCTTACTTAAGCTTGGGGTTGGGGGAGTTTTGGTGATCTAAAATGATGTGGATTTTATAGGACAGCTCTCTGCGAGTACAGGTTCTGGGCTGAGGTTATATATTTATGAATTTAACATAGCGTGACTGCTTCCTCTAAGGAAGGGTTTTCTGTATCAGCATGGCAAGGACAGCACGCACACCTACACAACTACACGTTGGCAGCCCTGGGTTTCATCTCTAAGCTGGTGGACTCATACAATATGACAAAATCAGCAGGGAGACACTGATGGATGAGCAATGGGCATGAGTTTGGGGTCAATCTCTATGGTTCTGAAGGGTACATTTAACCTTCTCCGTCTCCTTAGGTTGCAAATGATTTTTACAACCTACTCCTTCCCGTGTGTTTTCCAGCCTCTACCACTGATAGTGCTATTTTCTTTCTGCCTACTCCCAAGAACCTTTCCATTGACAATTCTCTGACCAGCCCTCTTGCCTAAGAAGGTAGACACAGTCCCTTAGCTGATCTCAGCAGTGACAGGTCTGAGCTCGGAAGTTTGGAAAGGAAGAAAGATAGGAGAAGCAAAGGCCATTTTATGCAGGCCTCCTGAGATCAGGAAGTGACAACTGGACAGGTACCTGGGCAAGAGCATCTTTCCCGGCTACAGAACTGTCCTTTCAGGTAAACTTCTCTTAGCCCCAGAATATGAAGGAGACCCTTGGGCATTCTCTGCTGACTGCTGAATGACCACTAATCACACAGTTTTGTTGGGAAGTTTCCCCGCTGTGGTAGGACATGGTTTTCTACTACAAGAGTTAATTCTCCTACATGGTTTCTACTGCAAGGTAGTTAGGGTTTAGACATTAGGATGTATAGTGCATATAAAAACTACCTACACCAGCTTGCTTTTTGTTCTTGAGTCACTGGTTTCTTGTCATGCACGCAGAGACAGAGAATTCTGTAAGTTCTCTTATTCCCAGCATGCATCTTACGAGGACAGGAAAGGAATAGAGTGCATTGTCATGATTGAACAAAACTTTTTCTCTCCACAGGAGAGAATGAACATATGCCGGTGAATAATCCTTCCACACAGATTTACCAGGTAAAAACAACTAGCTTCTTTTGAATGCTCCCGTGTGTAATAGTGGCGACTGTCCTTTACTATCGGGTTAATAACCCTTGGTTATTGCGGGCTGATCAGGCCCGCAATCTCCCAATCTAGTGGATGGCGAAGGCTTAAATAAAAGACACTCTCTTACAAGCTTCAAGATTCTCTGGGTTAAGACAAGGACTTCTCTGGGCAGCCCGTATTTATTAGGTTTTCAAGCAAAGGAGGAGGATACTCAAGAAAATGCAGGAACCCAGCAGGAACTTGGGAGAATTTTCCCAAGCAGTCAATTATGTCAATCAGGAGAACTACCTTTTCTTTAGGTTGGCATTTACTGTAGGAGTGTGTAGCTATAGTTTCTTTTCCTTTTAGTTAATTGGGGTTGGAGCCAGAAGTCCTCTGCTGGGGCCTTATCTTGTCCTTTGAGGCATCACAGCTTCACAGGCCAATATAGGCCTCAGCGGTGACCAGTGACTCGTAGAGGTTCACTTACTATGAGTCCACCACCCATCACCAGAAGGTGCCTAAACTTTGGACAACTCACAGCAAACATGGAAAGCCAATTAATATTAAACTCTGCTCAGAGCCACTTTGTAGTGATCTCCAGTACTTTGTGTGCAGAGATTTTTTTTTTGTCTTTTTGAGACAGGGTCTCCCTCTGCAGTTCAGGCTGGCCTTGAGTTCACTTTGTAACCCAGGCTGGCCTCGAACTCGCAATGATCCTCCTGCCTCAGCCTCCCGAGTGCTGGGATTACAGGCATGCACCACCACGCCCGGCCCCTGTGCAGAGATTTTTGACACTCTCATATGCTTCCTGACACACCATCATGTCTGTTCTCCTATCAAGAGCGTGTATCCTTGAGAGAATGGATTACTGGAGGACAAGTTCCTCCACTAATAAAGTGCAACGCCACTCCCACCCCCTCCCTGCTGTGCCTGCCTGCTTCCACTGTAGCCATGACCGCACTCAAGAATATTTCCACAGGAACGGAGAGAACAATATCTGGTTTTCTCAGTTTCCCATTTTAGCAGGGAGAATTGGGAACTGAAAAGCGGTTATTATTTCAAATGCTCAAATATGGTGACACAAAAAAATTTAAGCACATTTTATATAATAGGAGTAATTTGATTTACAAGGAAGATAAAAGTTGAGCAGAACATCTTTGCAACAGAATTGCATCAAGCTGTTGCGTCCCTGTGAATAGAATTTATTTGACTTCTACCTTCCAACTATACACTGGAAGCTTGGTCCTTATATCATGGAAATTTATTCTGATGTAATTTGTAAAATAAAAGCGTCTTGGGCTAGGGAAACCCATGCTCCACTCTAAAACTGCGGTAGTGTTTTCTGGAACACATGAGAAAGAAGCTAGAAATGGCAGAGCGTGGTGGTGGTTGAGAGGGAGAGGCCTCTCTAAGTTGGCTCTAAGGCTGTGAGCTTTGGTTACTAAGGAAAAGAGCAACTGTCCTAGCCTTTTTTGGTACCAGGAATTAAACTCAGGTCTGTGTGTTTACCAGGAGGCGCTGTGTCACTGAGCTGTATCCCTGGCCCTAAGAGCAACTTTCCAAGCGGAAAGATAAGTGTCCAGAGGAGCAGATAGTTTAGGGGAATGGTTTTAGCTTAGTTGAGGAGTAAAGTGAAAATAACAACTAGCTTCCGTAAATACTGTTCAGGAGTCCGTTGCTGCAGGCCCGGCTGAGGCAAGGCAGTACAGGGTTATGAAAACATTTAAACCGCGTTGATCTAGATTTAGATCAGCAGTGAGAGGCACGGACCAGACAGCCTTATTTCAAGTTAATTCACATTTATTGAGTAGTTACTATGTGCAAACTCCCCTGCTTAGCCTAATGGGAGCTTAAAAAAAAAGAAACAAGTATTTTCACTGGTTTTTAAGTGTCTACAACCTAGAAAACACATGTGTTTTCATACAGGTAGGCTGTTGAAAAAATTATAATGAGAGCATTGACACAGTTGTGTTGGGGAGATGAATTAGTACTAACTAGAAGACTTGAAGTAGGTGAATTGGGGCAAGTGGGTCCCTTGACGAGTGGCTAGGAGGAAGGTCTTTTCAGAGCCCCGGAAGCAGGAGCAGGCTGCACTCAGTACTGAGGTGATGCCTCACTGGTCCACGGTCTCTACACGCTTTCTCTCCCCACTTTCCCTCTGCTCACGTCTGAACGGTGTGTGGCATCCGAGTGAGTATGAATACCCCTTTAAACTCACGTACGAGTTAAAAATCTATTAAGTTTTTATATGGGTCACTCCCTGGACGTTGACTAAATATAGCGGCAGTGGGGATGGCCTCGTTATCCTGCTGTACCACACATCCGAGTACATCTGTTCACAGTGGGAAACACGAGCAGTGAAAGTGAAGTTGGTCTCCATGGCCTCAGTGATGCCATGCTGACCCGTCCTTGTTTAAAAAGAACGCTTCTGCCGGGCATGGTGGCGCACGCCTGTAATCCCAGCACTCGGGAGGCTGAGGCAGGAGGATCGTTGTGAGTTTGAGACCAGCCTTGGCTACAAAGTGAGCTCAAGGCCAGCCTGAACTGCAAAGCGAGACCCTGTCTCAAAAAGACCAAAAAAAAGTTATAAAAAGAACACTTCCTAAGTCTGTTTACTCCAAGCAACATTTAACCGAAAGAAGAAGGAGGAGAAGTGAAGAAGAAGAGGAAGAGGAAGAAGGAGGGAAGAAGGGAGGAGTCAGTTATAAAAGAGTACAATCTATGTTAGGAAGGACAATATCCAAAGCACTATATGAAATTTCTGTGATTACTTCCTTATTTATTTTCCTGATAGACCCTAATCCTACCTGATGTCACATACGAAAGTTAATAGTTGGCTTTTAAAAGTGTCTGTCTCCTCATCTAGAATGTAAGCTCTAAGGGCAGGAACTTAGTCTATTTTGCTCTTTGCTGTGTTCTTGACATAAAGTAGAGTGCTTGGGATGTAGTACATACTCGATAAGTACCAGCTGAATGAACGAATACCTGTAAGATGTGTATGTTGCTTTGAGCCAAGAAATCTGAGCAGTTGTTCAACACATGATGGCCAACAGTATTGGGAAAACTGGTTCTTTGGGAAGAAAGAAGAGACCCAAAGAGTTTGTTAAAAGATTAAGTACAAAAACCAAAAAAAATTTAGGATAAGTATTTATTTTGTCTATATGTGAAATGTCTAAAAAAGCACTGCAAGAAATTACAACATAAAACGGTCTGAGAATTCATCCATGTCATAATTTACAATTTTTTTTTGTCTTTTTGAGACAGGGTCTCACCAGCAGTTCGGGCTGGCCTTGAGCTCACTTTGTAGCCCAGGCTGGTCTCAAACTCACAACGATCCTCCTGCCTCAGCCTCCCGAGTGCTGGGATTACAGGCATGCACCACCATGCCAGGCTACAACTTTTTAACATAAAATATCTTGAGCAAATTCAAAAGCAAATACCAAAATTGGAAAAATACTTCCAACAAATATTTGAAAGATTTATATAATGGAATTATATAAATGGAAATATATAAATTTTATAAATTTACATAATGACTATATAATGGAAAATTCCAACACCTATGTGTAGAAAGGGCAAAGAACACAAATTCTTTGCCCATTTGTAACCTTAGCAGTGTGAGCACTGCATTTTTCTCCATTTCTATTGCTGAAATTTGATAAGATACATTTTTCTAAATCCACAAATTTAGAACATGACATATAATTCAGAATGTTTTCAAGAATATACAGTCCACCGTCTGGCCAAATATATTTGTATAATTATTAATTCATTGAGTATTTTGCCTCCCTTCAATATAGATTTTCCTTTGGGTTAACTATTACCTAATATCTTTGACTCATACTAATTACATATTTCAGAATTTATTCTGAGGAAATAATTTGAAATACTCACAAAGTTTACATCAAAAGCGTGATATGACAGCATTATTTATAATTGTGAAAAATTACAAATTTTCAGTCTGAGGGAGTAGCTGGATAAACTCTGGCATATTCCACATGATAGAATATTATATACCCCTTAAAAGAGATTCTTAGAAAAATTTTGAATGGTATGGGTGAGGGCTTATATGACAGTAGGAGCAAGAAGGATTAAGGGCAGAATCAAAATATCTATAGCGTGATCTCAGCTACATAAATATCTCCTTTTAATTATATATATATATATATATATATATATATATATATATATATATATATTT